AATTGCTAATTGCCTGTCCACGTATCCCAGTCATGGATATCACAGGCTACCCAGTATGGCGACCACTTTTAAGTAACCCTCCTGGTCTTCATTTAGTCCCTGAAATTTCCCTGCGTGTGTGTGTGTGTGTGTGTGTGTGTGTGGATGTGCGCGTGTGTGTGTGTGTGTGTGTGTGTGTGTGTGTGTGTGTGTGTGTGTGTGTGTGTGCGCGTGTGGGTGCGTGTGGGTGCGTGGGTGTGCGTGCGTGCGTCCATGTGTGTCTGCGATTGCGTGCGTGCGTCCATGTGTGTCTGCGATTGCGTGACAATTTGTCTTGTTGCGTGCATGATTGCCTTGTAGGAGACAAATCGTGTGAGACACACTGCTCTCTGCTACGGCCTGACGGAATTGCTGGAGGTGCTCTCTGAAGTGTTGCTACGGGAACAAACCACATACCCAATGGGCTCGTATCCACAGCAACAGCTGAATGCCATTGGCGAAGCATTGCTGACTCAGCTAGATCCTGACAAGCCCCTCATTCTGCAACCGATCAATGTGGATACAACGAGTCAGTGACTGGCGGATACAACGAGTCAGTGATTTAGACTGGTGCGTGTGTGTGTGCGTGCGTGCGTGCATGTGTGTGTGTGTGTGTGTGTGTGTGTGTGTGTGTGTGTGTGTGTGTGTGTGTGTGCGCACATACTCGTGCTAGTTGGCTCTCTTTGTAGAGTAGTGTTGGTATGTATGCAGAGGCTGGCGGATGACATCGCTCTTCTTCGAGAGGAGTTTTTTGTAGCTACCGTAACTCCAAGTCTTCAAGTTCGAGATGTGCGTGTCTGTGTGACTTCTCCAGTGTAGTCATGGAGTTTGTTGAACCTTGCTGCATGCGCGCTCTATCTGCTCTCGCTAGGTGCTGCTGATTTTGGCTCTGCACTCGTTTACGTATTGCTAACTTGACTGGCCCGTGTGCTTACATCAGCATGTGTGTTTGTGCCCTCATAAAACACACACACACACACACATAACGCGCTCGCGCTTGCTTGCTTTGCGCTCTGCTTTTGAACTCTTTGTAGTCAGCATCAGCTTCCCGACGTCATGGGATGATTCCAGCGTCTACTCTCCATCTCGTGCTCGCCTTATCCCGTTGCTGCTGCTGCATGCCCTGACATTTCACTTTGGTCCGTTCTACCAGTCCTAACAACCTTCTTTGCTTCTATGCTATACACAATGCGGCGCACGCACGCTTCGTGCAAAAACGCACGCAAGCGTTTGGATGCGCGCCGCCAATCGTTGTAATTGCGTAGGGTCTATTGTACTCTCCGCGCTGCCTGTTGCTATGCGCATGAAAGGTTCACGCTTCTTTTCTGTCCACACAATTTGGCCTGTTTCGTGCCCGAATAAAGGAAATTTACCTATCGGCGCAAGCTTTACGCTAACTTTCACACCTTGCATGGATTTCACGCGCCTGGGAGAAAAGGGTTTTGGTGTCGGAATTCGCACGGAATTTGCTACTACCAGTACCACTAAAATCCACACTTTGAATCGATTCAGCGCTCAGGGTCCAATGAAAGTCATGGGTGCATTTTGGTAATAATCACACCGATTTAGCTAGCTTGGTCACCAACTGCATGATCTAGTATGGTCACCAACTGCATGAATGGATCTCGTATCCAGCGCTGAAGTTCACAGCTTCAAAGATCACCTCTGGAAATCGTACTGGATTTTAGTGTTGTGTCCACATTGCGCAATGACGTAATCTGTACCATGACCACCCCACACAGCCAACTGGGCATGGTCACCCGCGTACGCGACTACGCGTGCATTCCTGATCTCAGCGTACTCACATGCATTACTCATACATTCCATATTTGGCAATGCGCAATGAGTACATGTACATGGCATTTGTACTAATGTTCTCTAGTGTTCACACCTCAGAGAAGATCAGAAAAAAAGTTTCAAATCACACCGATTTTATCGTGTAGACCAATTGCGGGAATTGATCCAGTGTATCCAGCGCTAAAGTTCACACCTGGAAAGTTGGAAACTGAATTTAGTGCATGCATTCCTCCGAGAATAGAGAGAGTTTTACGCTTGATGTTTTTTTCGATTTCGAACCTGAGATCTCACGGCCAAAATGGCGCCTCTCACGTTGCAACGTGAGATTTCAACGCGACAGAGGGCCAACTCACGGTGAAAACAGCGATTCAACGTACGCTTTTTCTCGCATTTCGAAATTGAAAGAACGTGCAGCGTCACCTCTCTAATATCAGAAAACCATGCGTGTTTTAGGACTGTTTTGATATATTTTCTTTTGTTTCCTATTCTGTTGTTGCATGCGTATTAGCACCTCATTGACCCCGCTCGTTCCTCATTCTTTATTCCATTTCGCCTAAGCGAAGACTAGCCAAGCTTGCTTGGCGATGTCAACGCGAAAAGGCTGATAATAATGCGTCGGAATTCACGCTGAATTCGATTTTGTCAGACATGGCGCTGGATTTACTCTGTAAAACTCACGACACGTCGGAAAGTTCCGTAGACTTCCAGCATATAAACGCAGTCCCTCACTGTCCCCGGGGAAAATTGTGGATAAACGCAGTCCCTCACTGTCCCCGGGGAAAATTGTGGAAGAAAGTGCAAACTGGAAATAATTGGAAGAAATGCCGGGTTAAACAAAGAAACTGCATGCGGCAAACTGTGAGGAACCCCGACAAATTGTCATGAAACCCGACAAATTGTGATGAAACCCGACAAACTGTGAGGAAACCCGACAAATTGTGCTAATTGTGCTGCTATCTGGTGTTCACGAGGTGTTTGTCGCACTGGAAACGGAGCGTCTCTGTAAGTTTGTATCCCTGGTGATGTTTGTGCCTGGAGAGCACTATATAAGTGGTGCTCTTCAGGCACAATCTTCCTCAGCCTACTCAAGCTCAACTGATGAGGGGTGAATTCCCCGAAACACTGTGTATTGAGCAGGGAGTGGTGCTTTCTTGCAGGTTTGCCGAGTCGAAGGTTCGATGGACTTCTTGTGTGCTCTGGATGGCAGTCGTGAGTCAGTCAAGTGTCAAGTAACGTCGGCGGAATAGCGCGAGCTCCGGTGTGGGGAGCAAACCTTTTCTTATTTTAGAATTATTATTATTATTATGAAATGATCCAAAGGCAATATGCCTATCGAGGGGTTCATTTGATAGAAAGAACAGTACTACTTCTAGGGTGTGCAATGACCTAGCGGTTATTGAGCTTGACATGGTTCCCTGTGACACCCAGGAGATCATGATTATGGTTCACCGTCCGTCTGCGATGTGGCCGAACAGCTGTTATTGCTGCCCTGTACAGGTCTGGTAGTGCTCCGGAGGGTGACACCAGCCTCATGGAGTACCTTGATCGGACTCTCGATGCTGCCCGATGTCATGGTACCCAGTTGATCCTTGCTGGAGACTTCAACGTCCACAACACCGACTGGCTTCATAGTACAAAGACAACAAATGCTGGCGAAGCAATGGAGGAGCTCAGTGCTGCTCATCACCTCACCCAACACGTGCTTGAGCCAACCAGGGGCAATAACACCCTGGATCTGGTCCTTTCCGACTTTGACACCCCGGTCGTGTCTACTGTGCACCCACCTCTCGGCCGATCTGACCATGCCAGTGTGATTACCGACTTCCTGCGTGCCCCATCACACCGGGAGCCCCCAACCTCGAGGTGCGTGTGGCGCTATAATTTGGCTGACTGGCCACGTTTGAAGCATTTCTTCCGGCAAACAGACTGGTCCTCTATCATCATTGACAACATTGACCTGTCATGCGAGCGGCTGACTGGCAAGATCTCTGAGGGCATGGCAACGTTCATCCCGTCCAAGAGCCTCAAACTGCACAGTACCGACCCAGTGTGGTGGACACCAGAGTGCACCGAAGCCACCAAGAGGAAGCGAAATGCATGGAAGCGACTCCGTCTGCATCCAGCAGATGCACAACTCCAACTGGCTTATACCCAAGCCACAGCCACTGCCTCAGCATGCCGCATACATGCCAGCAACATGCATGAGAGCTGAGGATACCCATGCAGCAGCCATCCGTCGAAGGCTCGCAGCAGGTGGTTTATCCAGTCGTGAATGGTGGTCCACTGTCAAGCGTGCCGGTGGGTGTGGGTGTAGCCATGACATCCCTACCCTTAAGGAGGAAAACCGCGCGGAGCTCACCACCAGTAAGGACAAAGCAGAGAGCTTTGCCCGCTATTTCTCAGCGAAATGCAGCCTTGGTGATGACCTGGATGCCAGCGACCTCCCGTATGTCCGCCCGCGATCTGATGCTTGTCTGAGTACCATCCACTTTAGGCCACGAACGGTATGCCGTGAACTGAGGAAGATTGTCCCGTCCAAAGCCACTGGCTCGGATGGTGTACCAGGACGAGTGTTGAATCAGTGCTGTCAGGAACTGTGCAGGCCTGATTAGTACCCCATTTTTTCAATAATACCCCATTTTTTGGGACCCGGGCGCCCCCTGCGCCAGAACCCGCTCGTTATTTACTACTGGCCTGTGGCCCAGCTTTTCAGCAAAGCATTCCACCAAGGCCGGCAACCGTCACTGTGGAAGCTTGCCTCAGTAGTACCTGTACACAAGAAGGGTTCCAAGTCCGCAACAAAGAACTACCGGCCCATATCCCTGCTGCCAAAACTGTCAAAGGTCATGGAAGCTATCATCAATCGTAGCCTTATGGGATTCCTTGAGCGCCAGCGCATCCTCACCGCTAACCAGTACGGCTTCCGCTCCGGCCTGGGAACGCAGGACCTCCTTACCCTACTACACCATCGTTGGAGTACCGTGGCTGCAGGGGGCGGAGCTGTGCGGGTTGTTGCTGTGGATATCGCTGGCGCGTTCGATCAAGTCTCCCACCCAGGTGTGATCCACAAAGCCCAGCAGTACGGTGTATCCGGCATGCTCCTTGCATGGTTGAGAGACTACCTGCTGGACAGGTGGGCAGCCGTCCAGCCCACACCGCATCACAGCCGGAGTTCCGCAAGGTAGCTTGTTGGGACCGACACTGTTCCTGCTCTACACGAACGATTCCGATGACCACCTTCCACCAGGTGTAGATCTGGCCGCTTACGCTGACGACACAACGCTGTTTCAGTGCCTGTTCACCATGGATACCATTGACCACGGCTCGACAATCCTGCAAATGCCCTCGATGCCCTTGTGAATTGGGGCACCAGCTGGAGAATTGCGTTCGAGCCAGCCAAGTCCCAGGCCATGACTATTGACCATCACCGCCCCGCCTGGGACCTCCCAGCAGTACAGTTTGCGGGTGTCCCCTGAATGGAGAGAGTAACTAACCTCAAGCTTCTTGGGGTAACCTTGGACAGCCAACTTTCCCACCGCAACCACCTCCGTACCGTCGCCATCAGAGCATGCCAGCGTCTCGGGCTCCTGCCTCGCCGCTCCTGGCTTTCCTATGCCGCGTTCAGTCTATTTCTCCGTCCCAGTTCCAGCCACTGGAGGACGTGATAACCACGAAGCTTATACCAGCAGCCACCGCCGGGCACAGTGTTGAGGGAAGTACTAGCAATGCCCTGTCGTTTGGGTGGCCTGGGCCTGGTCAGCCCGATGACATTGTGCGCCCAGTATGAGTCGTCTGTCGCCATCACAGCATCTCGCTCCCGGCGTATCGTGGATCGTGTTTCTGATATTGGGAATTCTCTGATTGGCGTTCCGCGGGAGAAGGCGAAGAGGAAGAAGGAAGTGCGTCATAGCCAGGCGGAGTCGGCACGGCGTATCAGCAATGATGCGTCGGACGCCTTGCGACACACCGTCCTCGCCCGTGAACCTGGCGCCTCGAGTTGGCTGACTTGCCGTCCATTGAAAAAGTATGGCTTTTCACTGAGCAAAGCTGAGTTCATGGACGGCTTGTGCCTCCGTTATGGTTGGATGCCGCCGAGGTTACCAACTCATTGCTCTTGTGGACGGGACAATGGTATTGACCATGCCTTGTCGTGTCCCCTTGGTGGGTTTACCATTATCCGCCATAATGAGATCCGGGATGTGACAGCCTCTCTCCTTCAAGAGACCTGTCACAATGTCTCCATTGAGCCACTGCTGCAGCCACTCACTGGAGAGAGAATGAGATACAGTTCTGCTATTGTGGAGGAGCATGCGCGGCTTGATGTAGCGGTCAGTGGTTTGTGGGGCAGTCGTTTTGAGCGTACTTTACTTGATACTAGTATACGGGGTTTTAATCCTCATGCACGCTCAAATCGATCTGCACCACACACCACTGTCTATCGGCGCCATGAAAAAGAAAAGCGACGATGTTATGAAGAGAGAGTGAGAGAGGTGGAGCATGCGACGTTCATGCCTGTTGTGCTGTCGGCAAGTGGTGGCATGGGAGGAGCGGCGACATCACTCTATCGCCGAATCGCGTTATTGAGAGCGGAAAGGAGGAAGGAGCAGTACTCCCACGTAATATCTTACATCAGATGCCGTCTCTCATTTGCCCTGTTGCGATCATGCATCATGTGTTTGCGGGGTTCACGGGGTCTTTTCCGTGAGCGATCGGTTCGGCATCCGGAGTCTGCTGAGCTGGTTTTTGCTGAGGCCCAGGTTGCTCGAATGTGAGAATCTATAAATTGCAGCAGATTATTTTCATTATAAATACTGGACATGAATATTGAATTAAACTGTACTCAGTGACTTTTTACATTTTACAGGCTACGTTTTATTATTATTATTATTATTGTAAAGCTTTCCTTTTGATCTTGTCTCTTATTGTTGTGACCTTTCCACAATAATTGTGTTGCATTGTCAACAAAAAATAAATAAAAACGAAGTATGGGAGGAAAAAAAAGGAAAGTTGCCGTAGAGCCTTCCCCCGCCTGCGCTGTCCCTGTATGGAATGCCCTGCCACCCGCCGTCCTCAACCAGCCACCTGACCGGAAACAGCTGCAAAGTTTCAAAGTGTCTGTCTTCCGGCACCTCCGTGCTCAGCAATGGCACTGGGCCACTGACACTCTGTAATATCAAGAGTACATAACCCCCCCCCCAGAGTGTGCAACACCGATCCAGCTCTGCATAGGGTCTTGGTCGAGCGGAATCGAATCTTCACACTTGCCACGTGATCGTTGCCACGGTTTGAGCCAATCAGAGCGCTCACAGGCGGGCATGAACCTCTGATCATGCCCTGCCATTCAGGCCCTAGAGAACACGAATGATCACGTGATGGGTATACTCACACATGGAGAGACTTACCTGATCGAGGACTAGGTGGAAGAGAGAAAGAAAAAAGCCTGACTGCCACCCACGCACGACATGCATTATGCGTGCGGTGGCATTCAGGCCCTTGACCAATCAGCACGTCCCGAGAGCGTGTGGAGGTATAAAAGGAAGACACCTCTATATCTAGGGGTGGTGATCGGGGACGTGGAGGATTCAGCTTGTGAGTTTCAGCTCGGTACGCTCGAGGGCTTTGTTGATTCAGGCCCGAGAGCGGCCCAAGGCCGAAGGCCGCGGGCCGCTCAGCTTGCGAGTTTCAGGTCGGCACACTCGAGGGCTTTGTTGATTCAGGCCCGCTCGAGGGCTTTGTTTATTCAGGCCCGAGAGCGGTCCAAGGCCAAAGGCCGCGGGCCGCTCGAGGGCCTGAATCAACAAAGCCCGAGAGCGTACCGACCTGAAACTTCACCTTGCTTGAGATGTAACTTACTTCATGAAACTTCAGAACGAAACTTCAGCCGTACCGTGCGCGCGCTCGAGGGCTTGCCCGAGAGCGCACGGAGGTGGAACTTCTGCTTGTGAGTTTCTGCTATTGTTGTGCAACGAGTGCCATAAAGGACTTGAGAACTTGGGCAGGCAGGCACTCGATGTTTCTAGTTGATGTATTTCAAGTTCGATTTATGCAGATTAGTGCAGTACAGTGGCTTTGTTTGCGCTGCTAGCATGCTGCGGGTCCGCTGCACTTGCACGTTCTGCTGAGGAGAGCGTTGTGGCTTCCGCTTGTGCTGTCGTGCGTGGGTGGCAGTGTGAAACACAATCAGACATGGATGTCAGGGCAGGTATCGTTGATTCCGGCCCTCGAGCGGCCCGGCCCGCGGCCTTGGGCCGCTCTCGGGCCTGAATCAACGATAGTACTGCCCTGACATGCATGTCTGATTCTATACTTCTGATGTCATGCGTACACTCCACACCAGCGCAAGGCGTTAAGGCCGGTCTCGAGGCAGGGCACCATTGTTTTTGATCCGAGAGTACCCGCGACTCCCCGGGTTGGCCTCAGATGTGTACGGTATTATGACGCAAAGATCCGATTACGCTCGACCAAGACCCTATGCAGAGCTGGATCAGGCGTTGCACACTCTGGGGGGTTATGCATATGTACTCTTGGTAATATGTATGCACATCTGCCTACACACTGCTGCATAATGCCATACGCCTTGTGCCCTGTTTATTTTTTTCTCTGGATCTGAATGTGCACCCCTTATGCATTATATAATTATATAATTATTCTCTCTCTCTCTCTCTCTCTCTCTCTCTCTCTCTCTCTCTCTCTCTCTCTCTCTCTCTCTCTCTCTCTCTCTCTCTCTCTCTCTCTCTCTCTCTCTCTCTCTCTCTCTCTCTCTCTCTCTCTCTCATATCTGTAGTGTGTTGTGATGACCAGGGCGATTTCAGCTGCGCGGAAAGAATGTTAACCCTTCACACAGGGGTAAAACAAACAGATAACTGTTGACAGATGAGAGGGAAAGTATTGTTTGACTATGTGGATTCGCGCCGTTGCATGCAAAGGTTGAGTGGATCTGGATGCCCTGAGGGCATGTTCGATTGGTTGGGTCTGAATCTACACAGGAAGGGGAGGCAATGACCGAAGGATGATGAAAACCACGTGGGGACACCAACAGCATTTCTATAAGCCAATAATGAAAATGAAATTAACGGTGGCCAATGCTGTCATGGAGAGTGTCTTATTGCCGTTATTGGTGCAGCTGGAGAAATAGGCGAATTTTACTTGCCATCACTGCATGGAAATTCACTCCGGCTGGGTACGTGTGGCATGGTGCTGTGGACAGTGAATCAGGGTTTAATTTGCGCCATATGCTTTTTACTATAGCGTCTGGTGACATATCCGGTGAAAAGGCATTCACGCCTAGCTTGCGAAGTTTTCGTGCTGCGTATGATCTTGCTGGGTCGAACTCTTTGAGGTCAGATGTGCTGTTTCGATGCGGGTAGTAACGATGCTCATTAGCTTTCTCATCTATACTTACTTCCCGATAATAACTGCAATAGTCTGGGGCCAACACCGCCATGTACATGTTCTGAATGTAAGCAGATGACCACCAATTGACATGGTCCAGCCTGGTATCGTATGGAAAAAGAAAATCAACTGCTGTCCGGTGAAATGCCATCAGATTATGGTCGCGATGGCACCGGTGTATGCAGGGTTCTGCGGATGAAGGAGGCTTTTTCTCCTGATAACCCATGCCAGCTTCCATTGGGCGGTCTTTGATAAGAAGTGCGTTCAGCGCCTTGAAGCCCTTCTCCTCACATTCTGGATTACTTGGTCCTCGGCAGACACTGTCCAGTGGCTTCTTTAGCACCACATCCTCGTCGAAGAACACAAGAAACTCAAATCTCCAGTTTTGTTGCCCCTCCAGTTGTTTAGCGTAATGGACCAACTGATTGCGTGATGTGGTCCATGTGGAATTGGGAAAGAAATAACTTCGAAAGCTGGGGCTTACGAGGGCTTTGGTTGCGGCGGTAATATTGTCTCTCCAGGTTACGAAAATCACTGACACCCTTGGCCACTTGGACAGTGCAATCCATTTTTTAGCAGGCATAGCTTTTCCCAGCACAAGGTATGCAAACGTGCCTGGCTTGATTTCAGGTCCGGATGGCATGGTGGCGGCCAGGATCCCACTTGCTGGTCGTTGTACTGTGGTAGGTGTGGGAGCCCTAGTGTAAGTAGTAGATCTACGTACAGGTGCAGGGCTCGTTTTACGCTGCCGGATATCCACTGCATGTGCAGGTATAGTAGTAGTGCTGCTGGT